TGGGTTCAAGCGATTCTCCTGCCTCATCCTCCCGAGTAGCTGGGATTACAGGTGCCTGCCACCATGCCCAGCTAATTTTTTATATTTTTAGTAGAGGCGGGGTTTCACCATGTTGGCCAGGCTGGTCTCAAACTCCTGACCTCAGGTGAACCACCCACCTCGGCCTCCCAAAGTGTTAGGATTACAGGCGTAACCACTGCGCCTGGCCTGATTTTTAATTCTTTTTTTCTTTTCATGGAGATGAGAGTCCTGCTGTGCTGCCCAGGCTGGTCTCAAACTCCTAGATTCAAGTGATCCTCCTGCCTCAGCCTCCCAAAGTGCTGAGGTTACCAGTGTGAGCCACTGTGCCCGGCCTTCAACCCTCACCTTACAGAAGAACTTGCTCCTATTTTGCCTCTTCCCCCATCTGCGCCCTGCCACTTCCTGCCACCCACCATGCCTCATGCCCAGCAGTACTGCCCACAGACCCTTCCCCCAGACCGCGGAGGCATCTCCAGGGCCTACCTGTTGAGTTGCCACAGGGTTGGGCCAAGATGTAAGAGCACTTGCCCATGAAGCCAAAGTGCCTCCCATCAAAGGTGACATAGTGAGGATCTCCGTAGACCAAGCAGGTGGCAGTGCCTGCTGGGAGGGGGAAAGAACAGGCGAAGCTGCTTCTGTGGTCCCTCCAGGCTGGACCCCACACGCCGGCCCACCCGCTGCCTGGTGGCAGGCCCCTGTTCCTCTGCTCAATCGAGGGATTGGGATCCTGGCATCAAGTCCACTCCAACAGGCTGGCAGGCGGGGACAGCATGGGGAGGGGCTCTCACCATAGGGGTGGCATCCATACTGGCCATTCTTAAGCTGGCACACAGTGTGTGTCCCGCACTGAGAGATTTGGCACTCGACCCGACTCCCTGGCCAACAGCGGCAACGTTCTGTGCAGTTGGGGCTGAACCACTCTGCCCCAGGCTGGGAGAAAGGGAAGTGAGGTCACATGGTCATATAGCTCCTAGAGTCCTTCTTTCTTTTCTTTTCTTTTTCTTTTTTATATTTATTTATTTATTTAAGATGGAGTCTCACTCTGTTGCCCAAGCTGGAGTGCAGTGGTGCGATCTCGGCTCTCTGCAACCTCCACCTCCCGGGCTCAAGCAATTCTCCTGCTTCAGTCTCCTGTGTAGCTGGGACTACAGATGCCCACTACCATGCCCAGCAAATTTTTTGTATTTTTAGTAGAGATGGGATTTCTCCATGTTGGCCAGGCTGGTCTCGAACTCCTGACCTCAGGAGATCTGCCTGCCTCGGCTTCCCAAAGTGCTCGGATTACAGGCACGAGTCACTGAGCCCGGCCCTTCCTTCCCTCTTTCGTTTCTTCCTTCCTTCCTTCCTTCCTTTCTTTTCCTTTTTCCTTCCTTTCTTTGTCTTCGTTCCTTCCTTCCCTCCTTTTTTCTTTCTTTCTTTTTTTTTGGATGGAGTCTGATCTCAGCTCATTGCAATCTCTGCCTCCCAGGTTCAAGTGATTCTCGTGGCTCAGCCTCCTGAGTAACTGGGAATACAGGCACCCACCACCATGTCCAGCTAATTTTTGTATTTTTAGCGGAGATGGGGTTTCACCATGTTGACCAGGCTGGCCTTGAACTCCTGACCTCAGGTGATCCACCTGCCTCAGCCTCCCAAAGTGCTGGAATTACAGGCGTGAGCCTCCGTGACCAGCTATTCTTTCTTTCCCTCCACTGTGCCCGGGAGAGAGGCTGCCCTCCCATGCAGACCTGACCTTCCTCATGTGATTCCTCTCCCCACCACCTACTTGATACTTGATGTTCTCACCATGACAGCACATTTGCACACACTTTTCTCTCCTCCCAGAACGCTTCTCTCCTCCCACTTGTTTTTGTTTTTTAAGAGACAGGGTCTTACTCTGTTGCCCAGACTGGAGTGCAGTGGCGCAATCATGGCTCACTGCAGTCTTGACTCCCTGGGCTGAAACCATCCTCCTGCCTCAACCTCCCAAGTATCTGGGACTACAGGCACATGCCACCATGCCCGACCTTTTTTTTTTTTTTTTTTTTTAACATTTTGGAGAGATGGAGTCTTGCTATGTTGCCTAGGCTGGTGTTGAACTCTTGAGCTCAAGTGACCCTCCTGCCTTGGCCTCCCAAAGTGCTGGGATTATAGGTGTGAGCCACCGCACCCAGCCTTATGTCTGTCATTTTTTTTTTTTTTTT